ATTTATTTCGACAATTTGAACATCGGGTCCCACTTGAAATTGTGGTCAAATTTGACACACTTGGCACCATTTCCAACAGTTTCATGTACAGTTAGCTTTTGTTTTTCTCGACAGTTCAACCATACTATACATTAAAAATTGAAGAAAATGGATACAAGAATTATGTTACAAAATAAACCATGCTTCATAATAGGAACGAGAACTCAATTCACAATAAACTGTCTTGATACATCAACATAATCTAAACCAACATAAAATGAAATTGTTCAATGCAACCAACGTCACATAATGTCAAAAAAACATAATAAATGACAAATCCAAATGGGACACATTGTTTTCCAAGAAAATAAGGTCCTACTTCGCTATCTTGTTTTCTCTCTTGTGGCCACTCCTTGTGTAGGGAGCCCGAATTGGCTACTGATGGAATTTTAAAGTGCAAGGAATGTCGTTTTCCTATTGTACCCAAGTAGCACCTCGTTTCTCGACCACGTTATTGACAATTGCATCCAACTGAGGCACGTCGTTGTCATGTAAAGGGAGGAGGGTGGCTACATAGTCTAATTATCGTTCTTCTTCATTAGTTTGTTGTTGGGATTGTTTTGTGGCTATCCAGTTCAAAATTCTCAGATGGTGAAAACCAATTCCCTTCGCAAATCTGTCCCCAATTTTGGACACACAACCTCAAATGCCCAAATCTACCCACCATCCAAAAATGTGAATGTTGACCTCATGTACTATGATACAGGTTATTAAATAATTATTGCATAATCAAAAAATGTTTAACTGAACATGCAATAAATTCGTACAATACATAATGAATTAAGTCAAACACATTCATAAGTAGGTGAATTTCTCAATATTTTGTTTCATTTTGTTCAAACTTTCGAGAAATCTAGTAACCATCTATAGAGAATGATAGATTTTCTCGACAAATGTTTTGTCTTTAGTGAAAATAAACTCTTGAGATACAAACGTGAATCCTCAAGTTGAATAGATGCTTCTTGTAATTATCTTTATTTGTCATTAGGGCAATCTGCAGTGACCGTAGAAAGAGCGAATAACATATGAATCCACAAATTGAACCACATTGTAATAATCTAAAGGTATCAAACCTAAACTAATGGCAATCTACAATTATCATGAAAAGTTTAGTAACATATCAAACCAAAAATTCAACACTCGTTGCTAAATATAAATATATCAAAGCAAAATTAGGGCAATCAAAACTAATAAGCATTCCAATGCTTGAGCATTGACAGATATTCTCGACAGATGATATGACTACAATGGAACTTCAACTATTAAGATTTTAACTTGACCACCTAATTTGAACTATCAGTTCTACAACGAAACTAACATCAAATTCATAAGGCACTAAATATACAAATGCCCTAATATTAATAAATTTCAAAAAAGTCAAGTTCTTGGACATGTTACAAGCATCTAACGACACCAAAAATCACATTCAAATCAAAGCTCTAATTCTCAAGCACATCCCTCATAACATTAGAAACAAATGTGCCAATACAAAAACTTAATTCTTGAGACAATAAACCACAGTGAAACGTATACTCTACTTTTCAAACAAACCCACCACCTACTAGAGGCAAATATACAAATTCCTAGAAAAAATCATATATATTTTGGGCAAAACCCCCATTTTTTAATAATGCGTGGTTGAAAATGAATTTCGAAAAAATGTATTTTTGGCTTAATGGAACCCAAACAAGGGTTTAATGTTGGACATGCAAGTAATTTTTCAATTTCAGAAGGGTAGAAATGTCCAAAAGTGAGAATTGTGGCAAAATTAGTGACAAGTGACATTCTTGTAGATATAGTGGACTTTGACATGTGATGCAATTTCCTCTATGTGATGCAACGAATTGTTGTCCTAAAACTATATCATTCTTTGAGTTATGCAATGTATTCTCTATGTCTCTTGAGTGATGAAAAAGTTCAAAGATAAGGTGGAAGCTCTAACATCTAAGCAATTGTCACAAAATATTCGAAAAATCATGTCAAAAAATGTCAAATATACGAGAGAGCTAAACTGTATAAATGAGAGACGCTTTAAATGGCTTGACAAATATTAGTTAATATTTTAAAACAGAGAAAAAAGCCAAGTCTTTAGCAATATATGAACTTGAGAATTATTAGTTCTTACTTGGCATGGTCATTTGATACAAGTTGTTACATGCAATCACTACTATATATGAGTAAATTTCATTAAGCCAAAAACTTGGATATTGATATTGCTATCAACCTTTCAGAAAATACTAACACTACTACACAATCAATATCGACTACCAACACTCTACAAAAATTGAATTTGACTTTAAAATTCTCAAACACGTTAACTAACATAACAAGGTTTTCTTGCAAGGGAAAAAATGACATGAAAGAGAAAACATTAGTTTGTGTCCATCGAGATCTTGAAACCGGACCCCGTCTTTGACAACTTCCTCTTCTCAGAGCGATCAAGTGAAGATAGCCTGTAAATTTCACTAATATTAATACTAAATCACAAAAAACTTTGTAAATAATCGTCGGAACTTACCCCAAACGCAATGAAATATCCGAATTTCGTTCTCGGACTGAAGTCGAGGTTGTACCATAATCTTTTCTACCGAGTAGACGATTTTCTCGGGACAGCCCAACTTGGTGCTTAAGCACCTCAACCTGTGTGTATACAGTGAACGATTAGTGATGATTAATTAATAATTATCCACAATAAATTCAATTTTTGTAGAGTGAACAATTTAATTATTTCCGAAAAGAAAAGAGGAAGAACAAGAAGGGTCTGTTCTCTTTACCATTTTCAGGCCATTTTCTATTTTCGATTTTCCAAAACAGTGAAAACGCGTTTTTGAAAACTAGTTAAAAATTTACATAGAAAACCTAAAACAACAAATTTGTCGTTTTTGGTGTTTTCAGTTATAATCAAACCAAAATTTTCAAAACACGTTTTGGGTGTTTTTAAAACAATTTTTCAAAATGCCAAAAAGAACACATTTTCAACAATCTCAAAATGGATACTCAAAACACAAAACTCAAAATGAATTCAAAACACAAAACTAAAACACAAAGAGAACAATCCCTAAACTTTTGATCTGTTTTACCTGTTCACGAAGTGCTTCATTTTGTTGTGCAACTTTTTGTCCCTTTCCATAATTTAACACATACGTAAATTTAGTAAGGTGATTAGAAACAGATTAATAAAGAAATTATTATGAAAAGTTGAACATAGTTTATAATAAATAAATAATTTAGTAAAACTACAATCTTTCAACATTTTAGGTTGTAAATTTTTTAACAAAAAATACGAAATAAAAAAATTCAAGGAGACAATACTACTAAATGCATACCCTCCTCCATTTTCAGCTATCTTTAGATCATTTAATTTTTTTAAAAGATATTTCCCTTAAGTTGTTATTCAAAATTTTACCTCCAGTTTCGATTTTTCCAGCTGCTCCAACAGTTTTTTCTCCTGAAATTTAAAGAAATTTAGAAATTAATCGAGTCCTATATTCGATGAAGTTAAAAAAAAAAAAAAAAGTTAAATTACCTTTTCATTTTTTACGGACAAAATCCCTTCGGAAAGCTGATACTCCATGTCCTTTAATTCGTTTAAACTCAACCCACCGAGCTCTTTTCCTAGCATGCGCCTTCAATTTCATGACGTGATGAAAAGAAAAGAAGTCATAAAATTATCATAATGCAAAATGAAATACGGAAAATTCACGAATTAATTTTACATATTTATATGTACATGAAATTATATTCCATAATGAAAAATGCAGTGTAAAGGCATATATACCTGTGCATTAACTTGAGCATCTCAAGTTCATCTTTGAGGGCATTTACTTCAGAATGAACCTCCTCCTTGATGTAGCAAAAAATGGAAATATTTGACTCATATTTGTTTTTGCACATGAAATTGTAATATTTTTTAACCTAAAAGCTAACTATAGTTAGTATACATTTAAATTATTGTTCAATTTTAGGGATGGACATTTAATCGAATCAAGACTCCAGAGGTTCCAAAACTTACATTTGCAAAATAATTGAAATTTAATGGGCGATTCTGGTTAGTTGAAATATCTGGATTGAACCACTTGGTGTCGACTCTTAATCAAATTTGATCAATTAATTCAAGAATCTTGAGATCGAATATTTTTATATTTGTATAGTGAAAATGTGTTAAAACAATAGTAAAATGAAAAAAACTATAAATATTTGAATTACCTGATTCACCACATTCTCCACTTGGGCAACTTCAGAAGTGTACTGCCTCTTGTACCTTTCTATGATATGTTCCATGCTTCAAACATGAGAAAAATAAGTAAAATTTATGAGTAATGCACTCATAAACAGGGCTACAAGACTTGGACCTCCCTGAAATAAAAGCTGGCCCATATAAAACCAAGCCCAAGCCCACTTGACAAACTAAATGTTTCTCTATTTCTCTTTGGGAGTAGACAGAGGTAGTGGTAACGATTGGGCCCAAAGGCTGAGGCCCGATTATTGGACTGCGTTGATTTGGGTTTTGTGACAGCCCGGACCGAACCTGGCTTGCCTCATTTCTCTTAGGCTCATTCCAAGGTGGGACAAGATCAGGTTACAGCTAGGGGTGTTAAATGGGCCAAGTCACTTGGACCGATCCACCACCATTGGCGGCTAACGATTTATTTATTTAAAATAAAAATAAAACTGAAAATTACACTTTTGCACAAAAAAAATATAAGCCACTCGCTAGATGGTTCGGACGAGTGTTTTGCTACTCGGTTCACACTTGGAGTTCGTCTCGGGCTTTAGCAGACACTGAGCGGCTCGCAATAGTTACAACATAAATTTATTAGTATTAATTATTTTCTCTAATGAATTTTATTGATTTATTTATTATTGTTGACTTGTATGTGCCAGGTCATCAAGACAGATAGGATTGTGTCAAATTCGGAACTCGACTTTATGGATGGTGGCGCTCGGACGGAGTTTTCAAAAAACGGAGTGATTCATCCAATTTGACAAGACTAAAAAATTTACAATGTGCGTCAAGTTCAAAAAATGAATTTTATTTTCAATAAATTTAAATGATGTCAAACTTGGACCAACTTAACTCATGATTAGAAAAATGAAAAGGAAAATCTTTCCTTAACGTACCCAGAACTCGCAAATTCATAAAGTTTTCCAGTGCCGGAAAAAACTATAACACCAACTTCTGCATCGCACAAAATCGACAATTCTTTTGCTTTCTTCAGCAATCCACCGCGCCGTTTCGAGAATGTTACCTGCCGGTTACTGGTGTTCTCAATCTTCTTAATCTCAACTTTCCCTCTACCCATTTTTTTCTCCCTTCAAAAACAACCCAATGCACTGAGAAATGAAGAAATAATGTGGAGAACTGAAGTCGAGTGAGGGGTTATAAATATTGTAGATGCCACCTTTCAATGTTTGGTTTAGGGTTATTATTATTTACTGCGGGGTAATTGAACAAAAGGGTAAATAAATTTGGAGACAAAATAAAGGCAATAATGGCCTTACTATGTGTAGGAAACAAGCTAAAAATGGTAATTGAAATTACTTATTTATGGAGGCTTAGTAATTATTATATATTTGCAGAATTCGAAGGGTATAATATTATTTTTTCTTGGGCTCAAAGAGTCAAA